TTGAGGCAGCAGTTTTGCTTTTCTTCGATGTTTTAATCCACATCCAAGTCTAGACGGCTAGACTCTGAGACACGCGTACAAAAACACATGACCATGAAAATACATAATGTACAAACAACTGTCTCTTGTTTCTGTCTGATTCTCTTTCAGCAGCCTTGGTTTGAAGCAAGGGGACAACATCTGCAGCTTTTTTATTACTGAAAATTATCTATTTGTTTGATTTTTCTCTGGCATTCCCAAGAAAACAAGAATCATCAGTCAGACTTAAGACCCCAGTATACTCCCGTGTACGTCCATACGCGGAAGTACGCACGTCTGTACGCCGAGGTACGAGCGTACCTCCCAGGGCATGTCTGTGCAGAGCTCAATTTTTACGACCGTGTACGTGTTGTCGCACAATAAACTGCCCAGTGACGGACTGTTTTGTATGCGACACCAATGTATTAAATTTCCCTTCTTCATCTCTGTTCTGGCCTTTTCTTTGTTTTTTTGCCAAGAGGCAGTGATCTCTTCCTCCTCCGTTGATGCCATGACTGAAATGGAAGGAATATGTCACGAGCGAATTAAACTCAGGTCCAGCGTGGCTGCGGGAGGGTCTGGAGATTTCCTGGTGGGCTGGTCTGATGTGTGGGCTGCAGAGCCAGCGCTCCCTGTTTCTAAAATCTTTTTTATTAACAACATATAAACACAGAACACCGCTGTGGCTGAGGCTGCCAGCACTCGTCCCCCCCCCCCCCAACCTGTCAATCAATCCAGTAGGCGTGTCAGCAAATGACCAATCAGCGACCTCAATTTGTCCAGAAGGTAAACGCCCCTCGTCTGTGAAGCTGCTCTGCAGCTGCTCTGGGTGTACGCTGGAGTACCAAGTCTGAACCCTCTGCGTACAGTACACGTGTACGTACGCGTGAACGGACGTACGCAGCAGTATACTGGGGGCTTTAGCATGTCACCTCTAGAGTCCTAAGACTGAAGAGAAGCTCAAAGAAACAGACAGTTTCAGGTCATTCATGGCTGCTGAGCCTCTCCACAGAGCTGTGCAGGCTCCTCACTACTCTACATCAGCCCGGGCAGTCCTTTCTGAGCCAGCTTGGTGTGGGAATGAGGCCAAAGGTGCTGCTGGACATTGTCCAGCTGACTGTAGTTTAGGGTGTAGTAGTTTGGGGTAGAATGATTTTCACAGCCTAGAATAAAGTTTTTCAATCTGTGCACACATAAAGAGTGCATTATTTTTAAAACCTGGCCACACAGAACAAAAAAAGCATAACTTGCTGGTCACTTGGCTACAAACACTCTGAATGCACTGAGACTGAAGACTCACTGGTGTTCTTACTATTCTGAGTCACTTTCTAGTGTCCAGCATCAAACCAGTGAGGTACTACTGGCTTAGGATATATCCTCTTGCAAGGACAGGGAGGATTAGCTGAGTTAGCATTAGACGGTGTCATGGTATTAGTCAGGGAAGGTATCTGAAATAATGTACGTATCTGAACTCACTGAAACAGACAAGCCTCACATGGCATCTCAAAAGTGTAAGCGACTGGTCAGAAGTGAAAAGGCCCTCCAAGTCTCGATCTACAGCAGCACAAATAATCTTCAAGCTTTCAGCATTCCTGTCTGAGTGAGTAACCACACAGTAATCAAGGCTCTCACACCGCGTTGTATTTTATTTCACTCAGACTCTAACTCAGCTGCAGAGCGCTGCCATTTCAGGTACTCACAGAGAGTAAACTTTATACCCCTGCACCCCCACTCCCCCCCCACTCTTTTGCTGAGTCTGTGAGGGTCCACCATGTTGGCATCAGTATGCATGTACACAATGTCCTGGTCTCCAGGCAGGCTGACACCTCCAGTTTTATCTGCAACAAAAACTGAGTTTAAAGAAAAGTGACCTCTCACAACAGCTTCAGCCTCCAGAGTAAAACGGCAAACGCATCAAATAAACAAGAAAACAGGAGCTACTTAAAGGAGTAGTACTATTGAGTTGATCCACTCAAAGATTTGTATATGAAGCCAAGTGGATCCAGTTACATCTGGCTTTGTAGTGTAGGCTACCAGTAACCTTTCAAGTATGCCAGAGTGCAGAAAGAGGCACATGTGAGACAGGTCATTGTGTATAAGCAAGTGCTGGTCTCAGATGAGAGGAAGGCATGCTGCAAAGGAGCAAAGGCTTTTGTAAATATCCCCATCATGAGAGACAACTGTCCTAAAGCTGGCCTTAGATAAACCGGCAGCACAATGACTGACACGTGCCGAGGTGAGGAAGCCTCACTGAGCCAGTTCATTCATATGATCCAACCCTCCTCATGGTGTAACGCAGGGTACAAGGTCTGCTAAAACCCCCAAATGATCACTTTGTTTTTAACTGCCTGCCATGTTTCAAAGTCTCCTACAGGAGGAGACATCATATTTCTCCAGTTTTCATCTCTCCACTGACCCACTGTCAGAATTAAAAATCTTACTTGTAACATACAAAGCTCTCAACAATCTAAACGGTAAAAGGGCTGTACTTACTGTCATTCTGGACTATTGAGCACACCTGAATATAAGCCGCGCCTGATAAATTTAAAAAGAAAATTTTACATAAATAGGCTGCACTTGCCTATAAGCCGCAGCTGTTCACGTTGTAACATGAGATATTTACACAGAAATTTACTTTTTTAACACTTTTAATTAAATACGCACTGGAAACACGTACAAATACAGTAAATGTTTTTTTTCTGAACAGTGCCTGTAACACGGCTGATTAAAAAAAATACAGTAATCTACCAGGAAGTCATTGATCGCTACCCCCCGAGAGCGACGTGCATTGGGCAGCTATGTGAGCGCCTGGGTGTGACGAAGCTAAATGTTTTGGTGGCATGAAGCTCGTTAGCCGATCAAAAAAAAACATAAATTAACTGCAGCGTTGTATAAGCCGCAGTGTTCAAAGTGTATGAAAAAAGTAGCGGCTTATAGTCCAGAACTGACCGTATACAGCACCTTTCTATCTACTCAAGATACTCAAAGTGCTTTACAACACAATCTGTGTCCTCATTTACCTCCAACACATTCATACAGCTCTCTACTACATCTCTACAAAGATCATCTGAATCTGTAGAGAATAATCACAGCTTTACATCACATTCATGCACTGATGGGACTCACATCGGTGGCAATGAGGAGTTCAGTGTCTTGCCCATGGACACCTCAGCATGTGACTGCTGGTGGATTCATACCCTCAACTCTTGCATTGAAGGACGACTGGTCTAACCACTGAGCCAGCTCCTCTGGACAGTTTCAAGTTGTTGAAACATTTTGTCTTTCATCCAAAAGACTTCATCAGTCCGAGGAGCCACAACAAACTCAGTCTTATAAATGGCACCTTCACGTATCGCCCCGTTTGCACCGATTCTACTCAGCCCAACCCTGCTCAGCTCGCCACGGAAAGATCTCTAATCCTTCAGTACTTTTTAACTGATTTGAGGCTGATTCGGGACCTTTTTTTGTCCCTGCTCCTCTGGTGGGACCGTTCGAGCTGAGTCGGGACCAAAACGTGAATGCAGGACTCTGATTGGTCAGGGGGAGGAGTCACTGGCTCTCAGAAACTTTTCACTGATCCGCCATTTGCAATGTCTCTGAACTCGACGCAGCAGCTGGATCTATTTTTCAGATTTTAAAAACAATAATGACAACACCGTGTTTAATTCTGAAGTCCAGGCGTTTTTTGTGTTTGGTGACCGACGACAATATTCGAGCGAGTGGAGTCACCGCGGAGGATCATACGAGCTGCCGACCTGTTGTAGCAGGTGAGGCCGGACCCTGAGCCCCGGCAGGCGGAGCACCGGGAGTCAGGGACGGAGGGTGGAAACTTTTTTTTTTTTACATTTTATGTATAAAAAAATAATGTTTTTTTTATCAGTGAAGATTAAAAATAAATAAACGTGTCGGCTTTATCATGAAACCCTGTTTTCACTTTGACTTCATTAAATAATCTGTTAATTAAAGTTAACGCAGCTGAAAAATCATAAAAAGACAAAATTGGATCTCAGGAATATTTCCCTCCACCGTGTTTAAAGAAGAGACACATCCTTTGGTTCAACATTATTCTAACACACATGTACAAATCACTCAACAAGAATTACACTTTAAATCAAAGCTGAAATAAAATCTGTATATAAGAAACTAAACCACATATTTAAATTGAACAATAAAAGTCGACACAATGATGAACATGAAATGATGAAGAAACATATAGAATTTTAAATATAGATGTTTTTGTAGAATCTGGTTCATCAGATTTAATTCAGTTTATTTATAAAGCTCCAAGTCACGACAGAAGTCGTCTCAGGGACTGAACAGAAATATTTATATATAAAATAATAATTTAACATTATTTATCTGAGGAGCAGCTTTGAGTTGAACTCATTGCAGATCTCTCACTCTTAACGGTGAAATAAAGTTCATTAACAGTTCATTAGCAGGATTTTGGATTCTGGACACGCCTCCAGGACCGGTCCTGAAGTGCGGTGGAAATGTGACGTGTAAAGAGCTGGTCTGAGCAGAGCAGTGGTGCAGAATAGGCAACAGTTGGTCAACCAGTTTGATAGTTCTCAGATGGTTTCTGGAGTCCGCCCTCTCCCCTGCCAACTAGTTTGAGACAGTCATGGCCAAAATGGTTCAAAATATCAAAGTTCATGCTCAGTGACAAAAGACAAAACATTTCAACAAAAATAAACCGTCCGGAGGACATGACTTAACTTTGATGGATGTCTGAGATTAGATTTGACTTTGGAACAGTTCTGAACTGAGTTTTGACCTATTTTTGATGCAAAGCATCCTGAGCTGGCTTTTATTGTGAATTGGTGCTATATAAATAAACAGAACAATTATTTTCATATTAGTTGGTAGATCTTACAGCGTGCAGCTCTGAATCAGGCCTGCATCTGGTGCCAGACACTTTCTATTTCTTCCTGAGTTTTGTAATGTTGCATGTCTTCCTTTGAGTAAAATATGTTACTCACCTGGACAATGTCGAGCACCATTCCAGCTGCCACTGTCCCAAACCCAGCAAGCAGGAAGGGGAAAACCACCTGCAGGCCGATAGAAAAGGAGGTCTCCTTGAGGGGCACCGGTGGTTCTGGGCTCTGGTTGATGCTGTTTTCATCGCTCTCGTTGCTCTGACTTGCATTCTCCAGCAGAGCATCCTCCTCGCGTTGACCTTTGGTATTGGCCAGACAGTCCATTGCGACCACAATCTCTGACTTGTCCTCATCTTCTCCAGCCTCAGTGGCCCTCTCTGTGAAAGATGTGACCTCAGTAAGCTCATACTCCCCTCCGGTCTCAGGGTTCCCTTCTTCAGGTCCCCTGGTAAGAATTACCGGATGGACAGAGCAGTTGGAGTTGAGGAATGTTGGGGTCAGGGTCCCCCCCTCCTTCTTCATCATCTCAACGTCCCCTGAGGACATGTCGATGTCGGGGAGTTTCTCTTGTTCTTTCGACCAAAGTACCATGCGGAGGCCTTTGACAAACAGTGTACAAAATAAGAAAAAGTCTGCGTGCCTTGGCCTGATGTTTAGGATGAAGTCAGAGAACTGTCCACCTGATCTGGTTTAGAACCTGATGAGTCCAATCAATTTATCCCATGAAAAAGGTCAACAGTGGGGTGGGTCGATACCAACTAGAGAGAATAAACGGCTCTTTAGGAGGAAACTGGCAACGAGGCACATGCAGCTTCTGCAGAGCCCGTGTTCCTGTCGGTGCTTTGGGAGCAGAACCAGTATGTTCTCCATTCACTGTGAGGTCCTAAAGGTGGGCAGGCAGATGAAAGTACATACTGGTGCAAAACCGAGGAGAAAAAAAAACAGCCAGCTTTGGGATTAATGCCAGAAATCCTGTCCAGTTGACAGCGAACTCTTTCAAAGGTGAGTGAGCTGAAGACACTCTGAAGAAGACCAACTGCACTTCAGACCTGTTGGTCCACTGAGTGCGTGGTGCCGCTCGGTGCTCAAACTGTCGGTCCAGTGAATGCTTGGTGCCGCTCGGTGCTCAAACTGTCGGTCCAATGAATGCGTGGTACCGCTCGGTGCTCAAACTGTCGGTCCAGTGAATGCGTGGTACCGCTCGGTGCTCAAACTGTTGGTCCACTGAGTGCGTGGTCCCGTTCCGTGCTCAAACTGTCGGTCCACTGAGTGTGCGGTGCCGCTCGGCGCTCAGGCTGTGGAGGGCTCACCTTACAGCACGTGGCAGTTGGGAGGTTCTCAAAGGAGATATTTAAAGAGCTTCTGTATGGAGATTGAATTACCTGCTGTTGAGGAGCGCCTCTCTGAGCAGAGTGGACAGTCATCTGCAAAAGGAACATTTCCAAAAGTTATTCATTCCTGTCCAGTTTCAGGCTCATGTTGAGAATGCACCTGCAGACAAATTCCATTACAACAAACACAAAAAAGGGTAAATATCTCATGCATGCTCAATAATCCAGGCTGAGAAATCTAACAAAGTTAAATCAGGTCCTCTGGACAGATTCTTCTTGTTGAAACGTTTCGTATTTTATCCAAAAGACTTCTTCAGTCTCAGGAGCTGCAACAAACTCAATCTCATAAATAGCACCTTCTCATAGTGGATCAACCAGTTTGATGGTGACAGCCAAAACTAGCTGTTCACATGCAAAAAAGGACAATCAACCTAACAACTGGTCGTTAGTGGCCTGATGGCTGCTTGCTATTCACAGAGGGCTGAATGATACTAACAATAATAGCATTCTAAGAGGGGGACAGTTCAACTACAGAGCGGACCGCTTCCCCACTAACTCATGAGCCAGGCAGAAGAAGAAATCCCACACAAGACAGGCTCTAGAGAAATGTGGATATCCTAACTGGGCCTTCCTGAAAGCAAAGAAGAAATCCAAACAGGACTCCAGTCAGCCATCAGGTGAAAAGGAAGAACACAGACCCAGACCAGTGGTCATTCCGTTTATTTTCTAAACACAACATCCCAGTGGCTTTCAAACACCCAAAATATATTATGGCAAAGACTGGTTCATCCCAAAGATCCAGTCCCCCGGCACAAACAGAATAATATTGTGTATGCTGTTCAGTGTCAGGAGGGTGATCAGTCTTACATCGGGGAAACTAAACAGCCACTGGCCAAAAGGATGGCCCAGCACAGAAGATCAACATCATCAGGCCAGGACTCTGAGGTCTACACTCATCTCCAGGCCAGCGGTCACTCGTTCAGGGATGAAGATGTTCACATCCTGGACAGAGGTCACTCGTTCAGGGATGAAGATGTTCACATCCTTGATAGAAAGGAATGCTGGTTTGAGAAAGAAGTAAAGGAGGCCATCTTTGTGAAGAGAAACCATCCATCACTAAACGAGGCGAAGGCCTCTGTATCCAACTGTCCCCCTCGTACAATGCTGTTATTGCTAGTATCACTCAGCCCTCTGTGAATAACAAGCGGCCATCATGACATCAACAACCAATTGTTATGTCGATGGTCATCCTTTTTGATGTGAATAGCTAGTTCTGATTTCAACAACAAATTGGTAGAGCCACTATGAGAAGGTGCTTTTTATAAGATTGAGTTTATTGCAGCTCCTCAGACTGAAAAAGCTTTTTGGATAAAAGACGACACCTTTAAACAAGAATCCTTCCAGAGGACATGACTTTACTTTGTTATAAAAAAAGGGTCAAGTTAAAACTCCGTGTACTGCATTGAGACCAATAACATTTATATTATTTGGGTTTTTATTTTTGGAATTTTGTGTGTTGCTGCCTACAACTAATATACTAAGAATGGCCTGTGGAAGAAACTGCTGGGCATGGAAATGGTCCACATTTGTTGTAGACTACCTTGAGTTTGGCAAACAGCTTTACAGTGTGCTTTAACGGTAATGCTAACACTCCATACACCAATGGTGCAGTGGGGTGTTTAGTGTTCTTGACCCTAAGACATACTGCAAGGCCTGGGGATTGAACCCCAACCTTTGACTGGAAGATGGCCCCCACCACAGACAAAACAAGTTTTACACTTAAGAGATATAAGCACAAAGTAAACCAGCCACTAGCGAGCACAAACCAGTGCATCTCTTGTGCCGGTCCCAAGCCCAGGTAAATGGAGAGGGTTGTGTCAGGAAGGGCATCTGATGTAAAACACTTTTGCCAAAAATATAATGCGAGTTCATCAATTCGAAACCATACCAGATCGGTCGAGGCCTGGGTTAACAACGACCACCAGCGGTGCTGTTGACAAACGGATGTCAGCAGAAAATATTTTACTGTTAGATGAAGACCACAAGGAGGTAAACGTGTCATGAGACAGAGGGAGACGAGGAAAGTGAAGAATGTAGGACTGAGGGTTGGAACTCTAAATGTGGGAACAATGACAGGCAAAGGTAGAGAGCTGGCTGACATGATGCAGAGAAGGAAGGTAGATGTTTTATGTGTCCCAGAGACCAAGTGGAAGAGCAGCAAGGCTCGCAGCATTGGAGTAGGGTTCAAACTGTTTTACCATGGTGTGGATAGAAAGAGAAATTGAGTAGGGGTGGTCCTGAAGGAGGAGTTGGCAAAGAATGTAGTAGAGGTGAAGAGAGTGTCAGATAGGGTCATGTGTCTGAAGGTAGAAGTAGAAGGTCTGATGCTCAGTGGTTATGCTCCACATGCTGGATGTGATGTGGAAGAGAAAGATACATTTTGTAAAGATCTGGATGAAGTGATAGAGAGTATTCCCAGGGAGGAGAGAGTGGTGATGGGAGCAGACCTGAATGGACATGTTGGTGAAGGAAACAGAGGATGAGGAAGTGATGGGTATGTTTGGTGCCAAGGAAGGAAACCAGGAAGGACAGATGGTGGTGGATTTTGCCAAGAAAATGGAAATGGCTGTAGTCAATACCTATTTCCAAAAGAGGGAGGATCATATGCTTCTTTTCCATTAGTACCTTTAGTACCAGTACAGCACGGTTCAACTCGGCTCGGTACGGTACACGTTGTGTTTCCATTATGCTTTCAGTACTAGTTCCAGTGGACGGGGTTCAAATTGACGTAACATGCCTTACCAGCTTGTGGCAGTAATGCTGATGGTAAGACCTGAAACAAGCTTCAGTACAGGGTGAGAATTTATTCTGAAGTTACTAGTAAATTAAAAAGAATACAGATAATTAAAATTATCAAATTAAACAATGTATGTCTATATATATATATATATATATATATCCTGCTAATGAACTTTTAACGAACTTTAGTTCACCATTAAATCTCTGATGAACCAGATTCTACAAAACATCTATATTTAAAAATGTATGTTTTCTTCATCATTTGATGTATTTGCACTCATGTCCACTTTTATTGTTCAATTTAGATATGTGGTTTTGTTTCTTGTTCAGATATATATATATATATATATATTTTTTTTTTTTTGGCGTTGCTTTAAAGTTTAATTCTTGTTTTGTGATTTGTACATCTGTGGGTTAGAATAAAGTTGAACTAAAGGCTGTAGCTCTTCTTTAAACATATTTAAGGAAAATATTCCTGAATGATCCAATAATTTTGTGTCTTTTTATTATTCTTCAGCTGAGTTAACTTTAACAGATTACTTAATAGTATTAAAGTGAAAACAGGATTTCATGATAAAGCCGGCACCATTTATTTATTATCTTTTTAAAATCTTCCCTGATTAAAAAAAAACATAAAATGTTTTTAAAAATCATTTCCACTCTCCGTCCCAGACCTGTCCCCGTCCCGGTAGCATATATTTATTTAATGTTTTTCCTAGTTCATATCTTAGATCTTATTACTGTTTTTCTTTT